AAGAGTAAAATGATTATTTTAAATGAAAAATTTGTCTTGAAATTTACGGTGTTACAAATAATAGCTAGACTATTAATTAGTCGCGGTTAATGCTAGACAAAACCCTAGTGATATTGATACTAGGTTTTATCGAGGGATAATTGTTTTGAGATAACGAAACGCTGTTCGAAGGCAGAATTACCACCTTTTTCAGGTGAGTGCATACTCCCTTTCATGAACATGATTTTAATACAAGTATTGATTGAATGTATTAAATATATGTTTATGTGTGAATTATTTGATGTTGTCTGAATTACGTGTTAAAGAACATACCTAGTTATTTATAATGATTTAGGGTAATGAGTAAACCTAAAATTTGCTATGAGAGTCATTGAGTAGTACCTCCTTATGAGTACGAGTGAGATATATACGGGGAATAGAACCCTTAAACATGTCATTGATCCAGAAGCACGGATTAGACATAGTCATTCGTCCCTAGTCCGAGAGTATGGATTGGAGCCAGTCAACTGTTTTTAATTCCGGAGTATGGATTAAGACATAGTCAGTTGTCCTCAATCCCGGAGTATGGATTAAGACATAGTCAGTTGCCCTTAGTCCGGGAATATGGACAAGACATAGTTATCTGTCATTAATCGGGGAGTATGGATTTAGACACAGACCAATTGTCCCTCATCTGAGAGTATGGAATAGGTACAATCAAGGACTCGAGAGCACGTATTAGATCTGGAGTAAGAGGTAAAAAATTAAGGTCCGTGAGTATGGATAGTCTCGTTGTGAGGACTGGCGGGTTGGGGTAAGAGTTGATTATATATATGGGGAAATCGTATATTGTGTGAGTTTATATATATATATATATATATATATATATATATATATATATATATATATATATATATATATGTTATAACATTGTGAGATTGAAATCCCTATGTACTCACCACGTTTCCCAACCTGACCCACTCAACTTATTTATATCTCAGGTGTTGATATGCGGTCACATTACACTGAGAGATTAAGGAGATATAAATCACTAGAGATAATGAATGTAAGTTCTGTTTATGCTTATGTTTCTGTATTGACAATGACATGCCAAATGTTTTAAAATAAATAAAAATACATTTCTTCGGAAATGCCTGGATAATCTAATTATCACGTTTTTTCTGGGAACAAATTCCGCAACGTTTTACTTAAAAGAGATACTTTGATTTTTATAAAACATAAACAAAATCGGTCTTTTCTGGCCATGAAAATGAGGATGTCACATATGCGCAGTTTGCCGCAAGGCATGTCTTGACACCTTTGAGGAACATGCGGTTAAGTCTAGAGAGCTATCTGGCTTTAAATACCGACATGATGTGGTTATGGATCTTCTCTTTGATTTCTGTCGGTGTGTTGGTATTTCCGTGAAGAAAGAAACACTTGTAAACTTTTTGACTTACCCCATGGATGGAAGATCCACACTCAGATCGACTGATATTTTGGTATTTGAATAGATAGGAGGGAAGCACGCTTGTGTGAATTTTACTAGGGTTTGCCCTCTCTTTGGTTTAAGGAGTAGGGGTTTCATAGCGGGATATGCTGCTTTGAAAGTCACCGCATGCAAAGTGACAAAGCACGAGAATGCATGTATTGAAAATTAATATGTGTTTATGCCTTTTGTATTTGATATTTTTGGTTTTTTCCTAGATCCACATATGTTGTTTTCAAAAAAATTAGTTTTGTTATCCAGAAAGGACTAGTGACGCAACTTGTTGTCCGTTTGCTTTCTGTCGATATGTATTGACTTTATATCCATGTTCATGGATATATTTTCTAAACGCAGAACCAAAACATATTATTACGAACACCATACTATCCAAACCACATAACCACTCATTTAATTTACTCATTTTATTATTTATCTGATTGGTAATTTATTATATAGGGGAAGGGTTATATGGAAAAAAAAATCCTAAAAAAACCTATAAATCATAAAAAAACATAAAAAAAATACTTAGACATCACAAATCTTTTTTTTTGAATTTATATACCAAAAAATCACTGAAAAAAAAAATCGATTTTATTTTTCAAAATTTTTTTCAGCGAAAATACATAAAAAGCTGCAAAAATTCATAATATAAAATAAAAAAAAAAAGATTTGTGATGTCTAAGTATTTTTTTTATATATATTTTAACGATTTTTAGGGTTTATTGTTTTCTATAGAACTTAAATATATGAGTAATTTAAAAAGCTCTTCTGAATATATATATATATATATATATATATATATATATATATATATATATATATATATATATATATATATATATATATATATAAAAGGAGTATTGCTATAAAATAACACATGTAACAAAATCTACGTATATTCAGATTTTTATAAAGTGTAACAAAAAACTTTAAAAAAAAAAGTCAGATCAGTTCTCATTAAAAGGCAAAGCAACAACTTGATGTGGTTTCACCATAAAGTAATTGGAATTTAAGGTCATCGAACATCATTATTAATTAGTTTAAGATTTAAGATAAGTTTGCAGAATAAAATATTCCTAAAATCATGGAATTATATTATTCTTAAATTGAAACGTATCATAGTGATATGCCACTAAATATTATTTATATTATAATATAGTTTAGAAATTGGAAAATAGACTCGGTCTTCTCTTATCATCCAATTGAAAGCACATGTTTTTGTTAAAAATATCATATTCATTGTCACATATTTTCTCCAACATATTTTTTTTAATTTCAACCACAACATCATTATGTCTTCCACATTGGTCCCACGATAACGTCTTTTCAATTTATTGTATTTCAATCATTTTAACGTTTCATTTCTTCTTTTTGTTCATTGTCATTTATTTATTTATTTATATTTTTTATATAAAAGATAATAAATAGACTATATCTATTAGCATCTAATTTAATAATATTATATCTATCTTAAGTCAAATAAAAAACTTGCATCAAGAGAGTTTATCAAGATTCTTTTGTCTAGGTTTTTCCTTATATTGGTAATATAAAGAATAAGGCATTATAATAGACTTAAATTGTCCTTAAAGATACATTGAATTACATTTTGAATTACCCATTAAAATGATCATATTTGAAAGCTTACTACATCAGTATAACCATATATCAGTATTATCTAACGTCCGTTTATCACAAAAAAACTACTTACTCCATAAAAAATGTCTATCACAAAACGGCTACTTACTCCACAAAAAATATTAGTAAATTCATTAAATTTAATTTTTTGACAAACAAAACTCTTTACGACAGAAAATATGACAGATTTAGGCCACAGATCCTAAAATATCCTCGAAACTTGTGATTTTTTTAATAATTTCTTCATATATTTTTTTTTCAAGCTTGCAAAAAAAACTCAAAATTTGCCATGATAAATATATCTTACAAATTTAAATAAAATAAAGCATAGTAAATGCTAAATACTAAGATTTGTATAATATCTAAGGCTTAGGTCTTGAATTCAATTTTTATCAATGAACCTTTTTACACATGTACGTTGTAGAGTTATTTGTCATCATCTATGATAAATTTGAACTCACAACTTAATCAATAAAAACCGCACATCTAAATATCTAATTATCTCTACACCTTATTTTGTTTACATGCTTAAAATATAACTTATTTTAGTCATTTTTAAGATTTTTTTAAAACTTATGAAATATACATTATCTCATAAAAATATATAAAAACACGCAAGCTTCGAGCATTTTCAAGAATGCACAACCCAAGTTCATGATTTTTTGTTAACAATGTTTTTTCTTTCCAGAAATATGAATTCGTAGATTTTTATTACAAAATATTATCATCGACGTTGAAAATATTATTATCTTATACATAATACATATACATTACAATTATTATCTTATTTAAAATTAATATTTAATTAATAGTCCCTTCGGGAAATGACACGCAATAAATTATCCAAATATTTAATTTATTTAATAAACATAATATTCGTTTATAAAAAAAAAAGAGTAAATTACACGAATGGTCCCTATGGTTTGGGATAATTTACACGTTTGGTCCCTAACTTATTTTTTTAATTCGGAAAATCCTTACTATTTGTTTTTGTTACGCCATTGGTCCCTATTGCTTGTTTTTGTTACACCCTTAATCCCTATCTTAACTAAAAAGACTATTATTTAAGTAGGGAAAATGATAGGATAGGTAAGGTAAGCTGAGATGGATGAAGTTGGTGGTGTGTTTATTTAAATAAATTAAAAAATCAATGCCAAAATAGTTTTTTTAGGTAAGATAGGGACCAAGCGTGTAACAAAAACAAATAATAGGGACCTTCCGAGTTAAAAAAATAAGTTAGGGATCAAACGCGCAAATTAACCTAAACCATAGGGACCATTCGTCTAATTTACTCAAAAAAAAAATAGAGTAAATTACACGAATGGTCCCTATGGTTTGCGGTAATTTGCGTGTTTGGTCCCTAACTTATTTTTTTAACTTGGAAGGTCCCTATGGTTTGTTTTTGTTATGCGTTTGGTCCCTACTGTTTAATTTTGTTACGCGTTTGGTCCCTATCTTATCTAAAAAGACTATTATTTAAAGAGGAAAAAATGATGGGGTAGGTGAGGTAAGGTGAGGGGGTGGGATTAGGGGTGTGTTTATTTAAATAAATTAAAAAATCAAGGGAAAAATAGTCTTTTTAGATAAGATAAGGACCAAGTGCGTAACAAAAACAAATAATAGGGACCTTCCGAGTTAAAAAAATAAGTTAGGAACCAAACGTGCAAATTATCCTAAACCATAGGGACCATTCGTGTAATTTACTCAAAAAAATACTATAATAATTTAATTGAAGATTGCATAGACCAAATAATTGGGGGATGGAAATAGCTTGGCGTTACTCGACTCCTTTCTTTTCAAATATAATTTCACGTCAATAACAAAATTGGCAGCCGTTGTCTTTTCAAGACTACAACTACCTCCTCCTCCTCCTCCTCCTTCTTCTCCGACCTCCGCCATGGACATCGCCGGCGATGAGCCTACAACACCCATCTCCACCCTCCGACGACGTAACTCCATCGCAACACCATCCGATATAAAGCTCCACACTAATGACGTCTACTCTTCTTCCACCACCACTACCACGACGACGTCTTCCTCATTATCTTCTTCAGCAGATTTCGAGCTGGTGTCGCTCAAACCAGCTTCCTACACCTCCCTCCGCGACATCCTTCCATCAACAGCCGCCGTTGTTCAGTCCCCAAAAGTCCCCTCCTCCGCCGTTCATTCAGGTTACGAGATTTCGATCAGAAACCGGCTCGTGAAACAGGCCGCCTGGGCGTACCTTCAACCCATGTCGACCTCCCCTGAATCCGGTGGATCCACCATCTTCCACCGTCTCTGGACTAGATTCTCCGACGCTTTCCTACATCTCTTTACTCAAATCTGCGATTGCATGCTCCGGTGTACTCCAATCACAACTACCAACTTCCGGTTATAACAAAAAAGGTAATCAAGTCAACTGCACAACACCCAAATCGGGGATTCGTTTCAATTTCTCTCCAATTTGTAGAAACAATAAACCAATCGAATTAATAATAAGAATTAGAATACAAATTTTGTTGTTGTTGTTGCTTTACAATCTGTAGATATGACTTATGCCTACTTTTCACGAATCAAAGTCCTCTAGATCGTCTAAATCTTAGCCAAACTGGTTCTTTATGACCCGAACTATGACTATGCGTACTCGGCGACGACGGGAAAGGCAGTTCCTCCGCGTATTGGTGGTGGTGGACGGTGGTTGGCGCTGGAGGAGCAGTCGGTGCCCACTGCTCTGATCCGAATGAAACCGGACTTGGAGTAACTGGCGGCGGCGGCGGACGTCCGTCACCGGAACTTTGATGATTTTGCAACCCCTGCATAACAATCATTCGAGAACTTTATTCAAAAAATTCTAACAACATTAATTAGATTCTATCTTTTTTGGTGATTATTCAAACGATTAATGATACCTGAGATTGTGTTCTTGAGGGTGATGGCTTTGAGATTAAATAGCCTAAGATATCAAAGAACTTTGTTTGACCTAATTCTGTGGAATTCTGCCAATAGTAAATTGCCACGTCCCATGCTCTGTCTCTAAATTGCTTTAAGCTTCTTTCTATATCGGTTTCATGTCTATATATAAATGGCCTCAACATTGTATCATATACAAACCCTGTACCCTGCAAATCGATATCAGTATCAGTATTAATATCAGTTTCGGTTTTGGACTGTTTCAGTACAAAACTGGTATTAGTTTGTTTTGGATTGTTTTGTTTGTATTGAATGATATGGAAGTTTGGGAACCAAAAGAGATGAAAGAAAGTGAGATATGTTGATATGTTTACCTTGGTTTTTGGATACCATAAGTATATAATGAGTGCTAGCTTTAATTCTCCATACATTGGAACCCTAGAAAAAAGGATTCAAACTTTTTAAATGCAAAATCGTTAAATGAAAACTTTATTTGTTAAATGTGTAGATATACATACCATGAAATGAATATATCGCCTACTCTTTCGAATACTGTGAGTATTGCAACAATTACCCTGAGATCGAAAAAACCAAAACCGATAAATCAAACATTTGTTAAAGGGTAAATAGGTTTCGAATTTTTGAAAAAATATCATATATATGGAGGCTATCTATTAATTTTATAAAAATAACCATTTTGTATTTATCTTCTTCGACATAAAGGGTAAATAGGTTTCGGATTTTTGAAAAATTAAGAACAAAAAAATCAACAAAATAGGGATGAAAAGGGGACAAAATGGACATATTAATAATGTCAATAGGGATGAAAAGGGGACAAAATGGACATATTAATAATGTCAATGTTAGGGCTAAAAATGTTTAAGGGACTATAAAAGAGGACAAAAAAATCCAACAAAATAAATTTAGTAGAAATAACGGAATAAAAGCTTTCAATCATATTTGTTACAAATGTGTCCAATTCTAAAATTATTACGTCCAAAAAGAGGGGTTAAATTTTCACGGGTCGTCTATGTCATTTTATCTGACATGATAGTGACCAAAAAATTCGTTTTTTGTGTCCAAAAAAAGTTTCTTTTTTGATCCAAAAAGATTCTCTACACAAGCCTTTTTCCATATAAAAATTGATCAAATTAATATATTAATATAAAATATTAAAAGAAAAGTACAAATAAGCATATGACATGTTTGGTATGCATTTGGCTTCCTTTCTCCAAATCAATCATGTCCCAAACAATGTAATTTCCAATAATGTTCGTCAAAAAAAAAAAAGCAAAAAAGCTACTCTTGCACATCAACTATATATCCATTTCGATTGACGATTTACAACTCAAAAGTTAAATTTTAACTTATAGATTAGTTTAAAGTGTTGTTAAATTGACATCTTTTAGATATTTTTTAAATTGTTGTTAAATTGACACCCCTTAAATATTTTTATTAAAAGTGAATCTATAATAAACTATTTATAACTTATTTTTTTCGAAAAACAATGCAAATTTAACTAATAAAAATATCTTAAAAATCAAATACGATGTCTATATGGAAAAATGGAATGTCTCAATGCGTTATCTCAAATTACTTTATCAAAATTGTATCTTATAAGTATAAGATAAACTACTTTTATGGTCTCACAAACACGATTATAATAAGTTAGTTTCCATTCTTATACACAAACCCTTAACCGTTTTTACAAATACACCACTACCATCCTATCCTTACATAAATGGTCAAAGTCGATGGTCAAGATCAAAGTTAAAGGTTCCGATGTAGTAGCCCTACAACGTGGGCATTGCACTGCGAACCATTTATCAGACTGTTATATACCTGATTCATCTCTCTCATGATTTTTCAAAGACGCGATGCGTAAGTCGAACTCATAATTGAAAGAAATATATTTTTTTTAAAAAAAATAATAGATACCATATGGAACCAGTTGTATTAATTGCAAGTCAATGGTTATACCTAATGATTTATAACAAACAATTTATGAATTTATTAATGTGTTTTATTCTAAAAATACTAAAATAGTATATAATAACCCCACATGGCCACATTCTTTATAAAAAAAAAATCCAATTTGCTAAATGAAATTGAAGAACATGAAAAAAGACACTCACCAATATTGACACCAAAATCGCAATTCTGCATTTCCTACTCCTTGCTTCTCTATCGTTTTAAAGCACTCGAAAGCTGGATACGCATATCCAAGAACCAATCTGCAATCATAATCAAATTATCGAATTATCATATTAAAAACTAGAATCAGCAAAGCTCCGATCACAAAATCTGTAGCGAAAAATCCCAAATTTACAGCGAATTCAGCTGGGTGATCGAAAGAAACTTACACAAGACTATTCGTGATCAACTCGCCCAACATCTTCTAACTTTCCTCCGTTTGCCGCCAATTATTTTCGCCAAATTTACTGTGAAAACGTAAAGGGGGGAATTAATTTAATCGATCATCGTTGATTTTCAGTATCCTCATCAAATCGCATGAGTAAATTCACAACAAATACAAGTTTGATGAACCAAATTATCCGATTAAACACTGTTACTAGCATTACAAAACCCAGCAAAAACCCTATTAAATCAATCAATCAAAAAAAAAAAAAAACCGGGAAAGAGGGGAATCTTAGGAAAGCAGGAGAGAAACTGTTAGTACCTTAATGGAAATAGATGTACGATGCTCGATCGATTGTTTGTCGATATTGATGGGATTGTGAAATTGATCTGGGAAACTTGAAATTGAGAGAGAAAAGAAGAGATTTTGAATGTGTAAATGTTCTGAAATTGGGTTTATAAAGGGAGATAGCGGTTGAATTTGGAATGGGTAAAACGTACAAGAGATATTGAAAAGAGAAGAGCAGGTGTGTTTGGAAACCATGGTTACTTGCCTCCGACGCCTTTCTTCCTCTCCCTTTCGAGTTCCATTTTTTAATAAAGTTTTAGTTCGTTTGGTGCTTTGAACAAAATTGCAGTCAACTAGTAAATGTATAAAAAGTTTATGCAAAGAATAGGTCGTAATTTTTAACATTATTTTATTTATTAAGATATGAACTTTATTTGATAATAGCATTTTATTAAATAACATTTTACATCATGAACTGGATTCTTATTTGTTGATTAGTCGTTTATTGGTTATACATATTATATAGTTATATAGATAAATAACAAAAAAAAAATAAAAAAAAATATGGGTTGTAATGATAGTAATGCAAATTTATTTCAAAAAATTAGTAATTTTTATTGGCCGGAAAAAAACAAAATGGTTATGGAATTTAGTATATTTGGAAATTATATATATATATATATATATATATATATATATATATATATATATATATATATATATATATATATATATATATATATATATATATATATGGTTAAGTTCAAATGAGAATACTATTTAGTGTGAGAACGTGAGAAACACTACTTTATGTTACTATTCTACTATGAAATTTGTATATAGAACGATATGATATTATTCATCAACAAATATACGAGCAATCACACATTAATATTCACATTAAAGTTTTGTATGTACAACTTTATGACATTATTCATCACCAAATATATGAAGAATCACATATTTAACATTCACATTAGAATTTACTAAATTACTACACATTATATAAATTTTATAGTAGAATAGCAATATAAAATTGAATATATTCATATTATAATTACTACAATAATATACATATTAAATTCATAGTATAATAGTAACATAAAGTAGTGTTCTCACGTTCTCACATTAAATAGTATTCTCATTTGAACTTAACCCTATATATATATATATATATATATATATATATATATATATATATATATATATATATATATATATATATATATATATATATATATGTGTGTGTGTGTGTGTGTGTGTGTGTGGGTTCAATTGAGAAAATAAAAAAGATTGAGAATGGGGGAATCATTCTCAGCCACTCATTTAATATAAGCATAAAAGATAAGGTGACAAACTTGTAAATATCGTAATAACCTTCAATCTCAAATACGTAACTATAGAGAATTCGATAACTGTTCGTTCATCATAAAAAATTTTCCTCCAACCTTCAATAATCATTCAGATTTTTTCAACTAAACCGAAATTTTTCGCTGTTCATGAAATTGGAATCGGAGTTCTTGACTCGCAATCACAGTCGACATTGAGGTACTTAGAATCGGTAGTCACAGGTTCCCAATCGGATTTTCAGAAATCAAAATCAAATTGAGAAATCGATCAGAGATAGGATGTCGCATCTGAAGTTGAAATCGGAAGTATATGATGATTTGGAATTTATAACTTGATGTTTTTAACATTTTTAAAATAGTTAACTTGTTTGCACTCCAACTGTTTGATGAAATGCATAAACTAAATTACCATGTTATATTCACATATGAATATGTTTTCTCACCTGAATCAATATATGATTATTAAAAACACAAAACAAATATGCAAGTCTGTATGTTATTCATATGTGAATAACATATAAAAATTATATATATTTGTCAAAATACCTTGTAATATTCATAAGTGAATATACCTTGTAATATTCATAAGTGAATATACTGTGTAATATTCATAAGTGAATATATCATCTAATATTCACAAGTGAATATACTCTGTAATATTCACATGTGATATACCATGTAATACTATGTAATATTCACATATGAAATATCATTTAATAATTATAAGTGAATACACCATCTAATATTCACAAGTGAATATACTATATTAATATTCACAAGTGAATTCATTATTCAATATTAAAATATGAATATACTATGTTTATTATATATTATATTCATATATGAATGATACATAAATTGTAAAAAAAAACTATACTTTTTATTCATAAGTGAATAACGAATGTACTCTAATAAAACCTGATGCATTGTTATTCATTTATGAATAACGATATCTGAAAATATAAATTTTTCTTTTTTATTTTTTATCTTAAAACTATATCAATATGGATGTTTATTTGTAGAGAATAAAAAATAATGAATTTTGGTATATTTAAAATATTTTTTGATAAAAATAGCTTATAACAATAAAAAAATGAAAAAAACTATGTTTTTTTTTGTATATTAAGGTAATGATTAGCATAGTTTAAGGAAATATGTTATGTTGGAAAACACATGTTCATTCGTTTCCAATTTCCGCCGTTACGTTGGAGCCTTTTGCGGCAAAAATAAATGATTGGGTGAGGATGATTCCCCCATTCTCAACCTTTTTTTTTTTTCTCAATTGAACCCTCTCTCTTTCTCTCTATGTATATATATATATATATATATATATATATATATATATATATATATATATATATATATATATATATATATATATATATACTTTTTTATTAGAAAATGATTACCGAATTTAGTTTATTTGGAAATCATAAAATATTTATAAACGGCTGAGGTTTTTTTTTTTTTTTTTTTTTTTTTTTTTTTTTTTTTTGGTAACACTTATAATTATAGTATGTTGGTTTTTTATATTAAAAGTTATTAGTTATTATTATATATTTATTTCGTAATAGTATGTAGTTGTGTATCGCTAAATTTATCTATATTATCATGTATAGGGTTTTTGTTTACTTAAAGTTAGTTTTTCAAACGTTTTATGAAAAGAAATTTCTAATTTGATAACAAAATCATTTTACAGTTTTTAAATAAACTGCAACCATAAATAAAAAATAAAAAAAGCAATGCTATATTGCTATTATTTAATATCATTATATTTGAAATCATTTGATAGATTTAAAATCAAACGAAAATATATAAATGAATTGAAATTGAATTTGTTTGTTATTTTCTCTATCGTATTGCAACTGGTATTTCTGTTCTTTTTCTACATCTCATTTAAAAAAAACCCAACAGAAAATATTACTAAAGGCAATAGATAAAAATATAATATTCATTTTCCGAAGAATCTTCGATGATAACTAAAAGTCTAGAACATAAAGTTGTCAAACAAATATTTTTTTTTTTTTTTTTTTTTTTTTTCTTTCAGACTCACGTCTTTTCAGTCATCTATGCTTTCTTTTAACAAACAAACTTCACACTTTATCCAAAAAAGAGTATAATCTAGAGACAATATCCAACGTAGTACACAAAGCTTAAAATTTATCCGAAAAAGACTACAACTACAAGTTTTTCACATCTTTTAGGGATAAGGATAATGACTTAAAAAGGTAATGAAGTTTCAAAAATATACAAAAAATACTATTATTTTATTTTTACTATTCAAAATACCATTAAAGTATATTTTTTATACACAAAATACCAATGAAGTACACATGTGTTCAAATAATACCTTGTGGGTAACCTACAATAGCCGGTAAAATGGTATTTTGTGTACAAAAAATAAAACAATGGTCTTTTTTGTACATTTTTGAAACTTCGTTACCTTTTTAAATCATTTTTCCTTCTTTGAATGTAATGGAAATTTAGCTACTTTTTATAAAGAACCATCCACTTCACTTCGGCCATTATTGTTGTTCATCGCCACCCTCCACCACTATGGCAAAACCCTTTTTCTTATTCTTCCTCCTAATCATCTGCCTACTTTCATCAACGCCGGAATCTCACCGGCCACCTCCGTTTCTCGGCAAATCCCCACGGCTTCTCAAAACCCAAAAATTCTTGTTCAGCCGAAGTACACTTACGAGACACAATACTTTGATCAGACTCTTGATCATTTCAGTTTCAATGATCTTCCCAAGTTCCAACAACATTATCTCATCAACTCCGATCACTGGGTGGGCCCAGGCCCTAGTCGTTTGGGCCCAATCTTCCTTTATTGTGGCAGCGAAGGCGACATCGAATGGTTCGCTGCCAACACCGACTTCGTTTGGGAATTCGCCCCTCGTTTTGGTGCCATGGTCATCTTCCCCGAAGTAAAAGCCCTAATCACTCTACTCTACATTAATTTGTTCACTTGCAAACCTTTAATAATACAATTTTATCAAAAGTTGCGTGATTTGATCTAGCATCGATATTATGGTGAACCGATGCCATATGGAAGCCAGAAAGAGGCATACAAGAATGCTTCTACTTTAGTCTATCTAACAGCCGAACAAGCACTTGCTGATTACGCTCATCACCGATTTGAAGAAAAATTTATCAGCCGAAGCATCACCTGTAATCTTGTTCGGCTGATCATACGGTGGAAGTAAGATCTTTTCCAACAATTTCAACAAAAATTAAACAAGCACTTGCTGATTACGCTCATTTCATCCCATTACCTAAAGTACCTGGTTACCACAATGTTTTAGTTGAACACATGTGTATTTTGTTGGTATTCTGTGTACAAATAGTAACATTAATGATATTTTTTGTACTAAAAAAACAACAATGGTATTT